CACAACCAAATAAAGAAACGCGCTGCAAATACTCACAGCACAACCAAATAAAGAAAAGCGCTACAAATACTCACAACACAACCAAATAAAGAAACGCGCTGCAAATACTCACAGCACAACCAAATATAGAAACGCGCTGCAAATACTCACAAAACAAACAAATATAGAAACGCGCTGCAAATAACAACCAAACAACCAAATATAGAAACGCGCTACAAATACTCACAACACAACCAAATAAAGAAACGCGCTACAAATACTAACCAAATATAGAAACGCGCTACAAATACTCACAACACAACCAAATAAAGAAACGCGCTACAAATACTCACAACACAACCAAATAAAGAAACGCGCTACAAATACTCACAACACAACCAAATAAAGAAACGCGCTACAAATACTCACAACACAACCAAATAAAGAAACGCGCTGCAAATACTCACAGCACAACCAAATATAGAAACGCGCTGCAAATACTCACAAAACAAACAAATATAGAAACGCGCTGCAAATACTCACAACACAACCAAATAAAGAAACGCGCTGCAAATGCTCACAACACAACCAAATACTGAAAGGCAAGTACAGACCACAACGGGAGGACCCCAACAATGAAAATTAACCATGTTTTTTTTTGTATTGATTACCATTTGTATAACCACAGTTGTACAAATACCATGGTTAAACAATGGTTAGTGTAGTAAATCCATGGTTAATTTGTGGTTACCATGGTTTAACTATATATAACAATTTTTTTATTTATTTACTTTTTACATAATAAATGTATTAATTAATTAATTTTAATAGTAAAACCATATGGTTAATTTTTGTAAGGGAAGTTGTAAAGTAAGACTCTCTAACCATATGCTTTCACAGTTACAGTAATTGTGTATTTCGTCAGCTTATTTAGGCTAATAATTTCAAGAAAAAAAAAAAGAAGCAGCAAAGAAATCGTATGATCAGGATGTTAAAATAAACAAAAATCTCACCTTTCAGCAAACAGTATAAATATGTCCCAGCCATGTTCATCACTTTGCGGTTCCCTTAAACATTTCCGTTGTGGTCTGTGCCTATTTGCAGCGCGTTTCCTTATTTGGTTGTGTTGTGAGTATTTGCAGCGCATTTCTGTTTTTGCAGCGCGTTTAAAAAGGTTTACAAGTAATAGTTTACCTTGATTTTTCTTTCACATGTCTGATATTTCATCTCAATCATGCTCCTCACTGACACGTTATTGCCTTGGTAAACAAATGGTAGAAATGACCACCCACCCAAACAATTAATATTTAAATGATTTATGTTTATTATATTATGTATCATTTTCAAAACATATATAAAAATAATAATAATAATAAAAAAAATAGCATTTTCAAAAAAATTTAATGATGATTGTTCATAGAAAGAATTGGCCAAAGACGTCAAAATTTTTTTTTAATTCTATACATAACAGCACATAAAAGTACGGTGGCCGAGAGAGCTCAACGCGCTGCAACTTCAGAAAACACATGCAAATAGAAAAAGCACCAGCAAATTAAGAAAACATCTTCATCAGTTTGACAGCACATGTGCTGCAAATACTCGCAACACAAACAAATAAAGTAACACGCTGCAAAAACAGAAATGTGCCGCAAATGCTCACAACCAAATAAAGAAACGAAATGCATAACGCATGTTTTTTTTTTTGTATCGCACAACCACAGTTGTACAAATACCATAGTTAAACAATGGTTAGTGTAGTAAATCCATGGTTAATTTGTGGTTACCATGGTTTAACTATATATAACAATTTTTTTATTTATTTACTTTTTACATAATAAATGTATTAATTAATTAATTTTAATAGTAAAACCATATGGTTAATTTTTGTAAGGGAAGTTGTAAAGTAAGTTAGCCAGCTTATATGCTTTCACAGTTACAGTAATTGTGTATTTCGTCAGCTTATTTAGGCTAATAATTTCAAGAAAAAAAAAAAGAAGCAGCAAAGAAATCGTATGATCAGGATGTTAAAATAAACAAAAATCTCACCTTTCAGCAAACAGTATAAATATGTCCCAGCCATGTTCATCACTTTGCGGTTCCCTTAAACATTTCCGTTGTGGTCTGTGCCTATTTGCAGCGCGTTTCCTTATTTGGTTGTGTTGTGAGTATTTGCAGCGCATTTCTGTTTTTGCAGCGCGTTTCTTTATTTGTTTGTGTTGTGAGTATTTGCAGCGCAATTCTGTTTTTGCAGCGCATTTCTTTATTTGGTTGTGCTGTGAGCATTTGCAGCATGTGTGTTGTCAAATTGATGAAGATGTTTTCTTAATTTGCAGCTGTTTTTTCATTTGCAGCACGTTGAGCTCTCTCGGTCACCGTAGAAATGCATATTCAAGAGTCAGATGGGAAATCGTACCCATGAGTCATTCTGTCCTTCCAAATAAAGCTCACATGCACTTTTAATTTGACACATGCAGCATTTATGATCTTCATTCGTGTTGATGTGTTCTGATAGGTTGTCGTCTTGTGCATGTTGTGACGTCAGTGTACATGCACATCTCTCATTGGATGTGATGTAATCAGGGTTTAAAGCCTGCAGGGTCTGATGGTATTAACTCACCTGGCTGTTTGTTGACTGTGTTTTAAGGTCTTGTCAAATGCCCCTAGAGTTTTTTAAATTGCTGTCATGCAGATTACTGGTGAAAGCCCTGGAGTTTTGGAGGTGATTGCAGAGTATGAGCATAAACATTCGAGTAGTTTGAAGAGACTTTCTAATTTAGTTTTTGCTCATCGAGTTTCCTGACCGTATCTCAAATGCAAATAAGTGAAGTGGTTGTTTTATTTTTTGTGTTTCAGAGAAATGTCTGCAGTTGATATAACCGACTTGGTGGGCTGCAGAAACATTCTTTTAGTATTCAGTTGCTTATGCAAATCAGATTGAGATTAAGTATTTGAGATCTTTCCCTCCAGCAGAACATCAAATGAGCCTCCGTCAACGTTTTTATCCTAGTTTTTGTCTTTAGTTTTGAGGGCCCCAAGGGCCCTGAGAAACACGCTTGCTCAGGTTTGTTCTCTGAAGTAAGTGTTTGCATGTGTAGGTATGAAATGCATTTGCACACAACCGTTAGATGCTTCCCCAGCAATTACAAAATCAGTCCTTTATTCTTTGGCTAATTTTTGCATTTACAGTTCTGTGTAATCAAGCATATTCTAAGCTTCTTATACTGTATGAGTAAACAGCATTTTGTTTTGTGCATTGGTGCATCTACTGCAACTTCTGTTGGAAACCTCTTTATGTATGCATGATGTAAAGCTAATGCACAAATCCCACGACAAGCCAGGACTGAATGATACATCCTTTCCACCATAATTCACTGTTGTGAAAGCAAGCATGCTCTGAATCTCTGAGTCACCACCGTTGTGTTCTTGTGTTTCCCTTGAAGGCCAGACTCTGAAAGGCAATTTGGAGAGGTTTAAAGATGGCAGAACTGAAAGAGAACTCTGAAATCTAAAAAATAAAATGCTTGAAAGAGGAAGAGAATGATAGGAATGGATCAAAAAAGAAGAAAACCAATCCTCCAGTTCATTTCATTTGAGGCAAGGACAAATATTTTCTTGCCTCACGTGAAAGAGGTCATGAATCTGAGTTTGGTTCAAGTTTGTCAGTAAATCAGAAATGGTGGTGCGTGGCCAAATTTCATTTGATTTCAGTGGAGTTGTGTTTTTAGGTTGATGAGATAGGTGGATGCCAAAGCCCTCCTAGATAGAGATAAGGGTCTCTGTGTTTCACGTTTTCATCCAAAAGGTGGAAAGAAATGGAAATAAACCAAAAAAAAGCAAGCCATATCTCATTTGAGTATGAATATTACACTATTCTGATTATTCTTAATATTCAAGCCCACAAATTACTGATGATAAGTGCTGTGCTCAGGGGTACAAATGATGATAAAACAGAATGGTGATCCTAGTAACTCAGTATCTTTGTTTTGACAGCCCTGCAATTAAAGCAAACCAGAACTGACATCAAAATCTTCAGTGTACCTCTGAAGTCTTTTTACACCATGTGCGCTGAAGCTCTCTCTCTCTTCCCAACCAGGTTTAATTTTGAAGATGAAACTCCCACTACAAACTTTGACAGCTTCCCTGCAGCCATAATGACAGTCTTCCAGGTATACTTTATTTTAATTTGGCCTTATGAATGTTTAATGTGTTTTTTTTTTCATGTATTAAACTGTAAGACTGTTTGGTGTGCTTGACCTGTTTATGCCCCTTGCAGATTTTGACAGGAGAGGATTGGAATGCAGTGATGTATCATGGGATAGAGTCCCAGGGTGGTGTCCGGGGTGGAATGTTCTCCTCGGTCTACTTCATTGTTCTTACACTGTTTGGAAACTGTATCCTTTCCTACATCTGTTCAAATGTTTGGGGCATCAGGGACAAGAAGATTTGTAATACATCAGCATGAAAAAGTTCAACATATGGAAAATCATAAAGTGAATATTCTTTATAAATAAATAAATATAAGAAAGTTTCATACCTTTTAATGAAAAAAGTAGATAAAACAATTCAGTTTAATTTCTTTCCTTTGAATTATTGATCAAATGTAAAAATGTAGTCTGTTTTAATGCAAATCAAATGTATGTTGAATGAAATGCAATATGAAATACGAACAATTCTCTAACCTGATAATAACTAGACACTCTTCTCAATGTATTCTTGGCCATCGCTGTGGATAACCTTGCCAATGCGCAGGAGCTAACAAAGGTAATCTGACCTTAATAACACTACCTGTCACCTGATTTATAATAATTTTGCTTTGTTTTTTGTTGTTATACTATATTGACACAAAACACCCTGAGGATGTAGGGTTGTTTGTCCTGATCTTTCATTTCTGCAATGTCCATGCTTTCAGGATGAAGAGGAACAAGAGGAGGCAGCGAAGAAAAGCATGGCTCTTCAGAAGGCTATGGAGGTGAAGGAGGTCAGCCCAATGTCTGCTGCCAACATCTCAATAGCAGCGTAAGTGTCTGATTTTTCCCCCTGTATGTTTTCTTAACCAGCCTTGCGCTATGGAATTTTTCCTCTGATGTGTACTGTAGCAGTTGTTTGTTACTTCTCTGTTAAGTTCTCTCATCTTTTTAAGTGGGAGAACTTGCACAATTGGTGGCTGACTAAATACTTTTTTGCCCCACTGTAGTTCATATTTGCTAGCATGTTGCTTAGATGTTCTAGATGGTTGCTCGATTGTTTTGAACAGATACTATGGTATTCTGGGTGGTTGCTAGGTTGTTGCTACAATATGGATGGATGGATGGATGGATATATTGATGGACGGATGTACGGATGTACGGATGTACGGATGGTGGGGTTAGATAAGATAGATAGATAGATAGATAGATAGTAGGGATGCTCCGATCCGCCTTTTTCGCCACCAATACCGATACCGATTCCGATACCTAGGGTTCGGTATTGGCCGATACAGATGCCGATCCGATACCAGTGAAGTTTTTTTCCCCATTTAAATAAACATAGAATTTATATATCTCTGTGTGTGGAACTGATAATCATTCTTTCACAATCTACTAGATACAGACTACTTAATTATAAAGAAAAATTAAATAAACAATAAATATGAAAAAAATATAGGCCTATGTATATTTATAATCTATGACAAAAATTTATCAAAAACTAGGTTAGTGGATAATTCGGCAGCAAAAGTTATTCTAGGAAAATCAGTGCACAATAATTTTAGAAATCCAAACATTTAGTGAAAAAACTATATTTTGTGGCGAACAAATAAAAGTGTGAATATAAATATGGTAAAATGTTACACATTGCTATTTATATTATAAAATCAATTTATTAAAAACATTCATATATATGTTTAAGTATATACTATAAAATTAAAATACATTTATTTTGAATGTATAGCATATTTTTAATAAGGCAACAACATATGATAGATATGATAGGACAAAACAAATGCAGTGCAGCACGAACTGTTTTTATACAGTCTATGAGCACGATGCCGTGTTGCTTCAAGCGCATCATTCTGCACACCAGATGCGCACATTGTAAGCGCTTCGTGTTAAAAACTGCAAAGCACAAAGGGAAGAGAAATTGATGCGTAGTGTATTATATCTATGCAACAGTTATTGAGCCTTTCTTTTAACAGTTTTAAATTTCAGTTACTGTGCACGTTAAAAACAATATAGTCTTTTCTACGCCCATGTTTTGTTCTCACAGACACCCGGTGGCAAGTAACAAAACAACATTAAACTTCGGCAAGAAGATAAAGTCCTTTTTGCAAAATCATAGACATGTATTTACAAATCAAGTATAATGGGAACACAGAATGATCTTGGAGAGAGCTTTACCGAGCTGACTGCTGTAACCGAACGAGACCAGGGTTTAAAGGCTGAACGAATGACTGACAGCCACAGCGGAGAAAAGAGTTTGTGTGAACTTTAATGAAAGGACTTAAATATTCATATGTAGCTCACATTAAGCTATCGTATGGCTTCAGAATTAACACAAAATAATTCGCACAATCAAAAAAAAAAAAATCTCGGATTTGGATCGGCCCTCTCTGACCGATACCCGATCCGAGAAAAATGGCACTATCGGATAATATCAGATCGGCGCATCCCTAATAGATAGATATATTAATTATTTTAATCTATACACACAGATGAGATTAATTATTTTACATTATTTGTAGGTCGTTTAAGTGGCCTCCCTTTGTCCTTAGATAGATGTATTATATCACTCCGACACTTTGATTTTATCCTTTTGATAGCGGATACCTTTTCCAATATGAATGAAGGCCAAGCTAAACAGAGCAGTCTGGGTGTGCTGTCTGCAAGCTTCACTGACTATTTAGATCAACGGCCTTTGTAGTGTGTGGGTTTGGTCTTTGTGTGTGTGTGTGTTTGTGCATGCAAGGGACAGAATGGCACTTTTTCATCAAGAAACAGCATAATAATTTGCTGCATTGAAAGTATATTAAAATCTGCAGGTTCATGTTGTTTGTCTGTTACGTTTTCCTTTCTCTCAAGTTGTTCTTTCCTTCTTTCTTGACCTCTTTTCATATAATATCCTTGTTTGTCTTTAACATGTTTGTCGTTTTTGTGTTGTGCGACCCTGAATGTGTCTCTAAGGAGTTATGTCTATACACCATGTCATCGCTTTGTGAGGTATAGTGACACAGATCAGGATGCTTTTGTTATTTTTGTTTGATTTTAGTGGTTTTTATCATTAGTACATGTTATTAGTGCATCATTAGGGCTTCTGAGTCCCTGTAGTCCCATGATGCTCTCTGTCCCCTCTTAACAATGGAACAGCATTTGCTGTTAGACATAAGTGAAATGCATGAGTCATAGAGCATGACATACAGATTATACTGAAACTGCATATAGAAAAATCATCTGTGCCAACCACTGTTCCACTCGAATGCTTGAGAGCCCGATGTTGTTAAGAGTGTAGCTCACCCAAAAGTAATTCTGTCATTTACTCACTCTCACAGTGTTTCAAACCTTTTTGAATGCTTAAAATATAGTACATTAGTCATATGGATAGCTTTTATGATGTTTTTGCATCGAATGAAACTTCAGTCCTCACTTATTATAATAGCACAGAAAAGAGTGACCAGTAAGAATTTCTCATATATATTCCACAGAATAAATAAAGTCAAATGGGTTTAGAGCAACACAAAGGTGAATAAATATGTGATAGCACTTTCATTCTGGGTGAACTTTCCTTTTAAAGTAGGCTAACTCACAAAGTTTAGTTTAGCCATTTTTGTTTATTGTTTTGTTCCTTTGACGACCAGAGTAGCTAATTGTTGGTTTACTGTACCTTTAAGAATTAATGATTTGTTCCTTTAAGATGTAAAAAAAAAACTATACTTTGATTTAAATTTTTTTCTGTATACTGTTTTAATAATTTACTACTACTATAAGTTATAAGTATAAGTAATTTTTCAATTTTTTTTTACATTTTTATATTTAAGTTTTAGTAAGTTTATTTTGTGCTTTTGTCATTTATATTGGTTTTTATTTTAATATTTCTATAATTTTTTTAAACTGCCAAGGCAGCAAGTATTAGTTCAATTTAAGACCTTTAAATTACCTTTATTTTGATTGGCTGAGCTCTTTACATGTAAAACTAGTAATTATTTTCTTATATTTACTCTTTTACTTCTAATAATATTCTCATCTAATGTCAAACTCCAATGATATCATGAAGATTAAAGGAATAATCCACCCCAAATTGAAAATTCAGTTATCCATAAAATGCGTTGCACAAATTCGAACATCTGGGTTGTGCTGTTCTGTTGTAAATAAATCTTAAGCAATGATTCCTAATTGCATCTACTTCCGGAAGGCCAAATAAAGTGCTTATGCTTTCACACTGAAACACACAGCGTCTTACTGACATGGCTGCATCAACACGACTGCTGTTCCTGAAACCACGGCTTCTTTCTTTACGTGCACATTTGAGCTGCATTATGCTAATATTTCCACATAGTGACGTAGACATGTGGGGGCGGGTTAGAATGAGCCGTTTTAAGTGGGCGTGGTTGACTCTTAAATTTTATAAAGAATATCTCTTTGGATTTGAGACTTTAGTCTTTGCAACTTTACAGATCTTCTTTATGCATCAAGAGCTTGTAACACTCCAAAAAGAAAGGAAAACTTGAAATCGCCTTTAAAGAACGTTGGTCACCAAACAGTTTCAGTTGCTCTTGCCTTCCATTGTGAAGACAAAAAAGAGTGGATGTCAATGGGAAGTATTATTTTGAGGAATTTGTCTGGTTATCAAAATTCTTCAGAAGAAAGAAAGTCAGTCAGGTTTGGAACGACATGAGGAGAGTAAATCATGACAGAATTTTTATTTATTTGGGTGTACTATCCCTTTAACCATGTTCATTGTGATTTTGAGTGGTCAGCAGTGGTGGGCTCATGGATGTGGGTGTTATCGGAGTAAATGCATATTGATGTGTGTAATTCAGGTGAATGTTCTTCCGTCCTTCAGTAAAGAACAGCAGAGGTCACTGCAGAAGATGTCAATATGGGAGCAGCGCACCAACCAGCTGCGCAGACACAACCTGCGCAACAGCAGCGAGGCCCTTTACAACGAACTAGAGCCTGAAGAGCGTCTGCGCGTGTCTTCGGCGCTCCATCTGCGGCCCGACATGAAGGCCCACCATGATCGGCCACTGGTAGTGGAGCACCGAGACGATACTGTGGACAATTCTAGGACTGACAGAGATGGAGACACTCCAGACTGTCAGCCATCCTCCGGCCACCCAAGGAAGCACCATCGATGTCGAGGAGAGAACGGAGATGCAGGAGAGGGGAGGCACCATAGACACCACAGCCAAAACATAGAGCACCAGGGCAGCCTGGAGCACAGCAGCAATCAGGATGGAGGACACACTAACCACCACATGGCTGGTTCTCCTGAGGAGGGCATAGGGATGGAGGAGAGAGAACACAGACACCACCATTCTCGCCGATCCAGAGAGGTCAACGGGAATGGCAACGGCACAATCGGTAATGGAGGCAGAGGCGAGGGTAGGATACGAGGTCACAGAGAAGGCGAAGGAGAAAATGGAGAGAGGAGAAGACACCGGCCACGTGTTAAAGCCCAGTCCACACTGGATGGAGAAGAATGCAGGGAGAACGGTGGAAAACACAGGTACAATCTCAGACTGCATGGTGACTCCAAATACTATTTGGACACATAAAGGGATAGTCCACCCAAAAACTAAAATTCTGGCATCATTTACTTACCCCGATGTCATTTAAAACCTGTATGCATTTTTTTCTTGTGCAAAACACAAAGATATTTTTTTAAATTAATCTGTTATGAAACATGTTATGACAGCCATTGTGTAATTGAATATATTTTAACAAATAGCTAAGAAATTGTATTATTTATAAGTTAATTTAAAAACTGCATTGTGCATACAATTATTATTTTTTTTTAAGTTGAGTGTTGATCATCTATTTAAAAATAAATAGCAATTAAATTTAAGTTTGGGTTAAGTTGTTAGGCCTAATTGTAACCTTATAATGTAAAAGGGTTCCCTATAGTTTTAAGCATAAGCTGAGGTAGATTTTTATCACTAAGAAAATTTAAACTATAACTGAATGTATTTAAAGAAAGAGCAATTTCTTTCATTAAAAAAAAAAAAAAAGGTTTAGTTTTCCCCCCTGCTGTACCGAAATCATACCGAACCGTGACGTTAAAACCGAGGTACGTACCGAACTGTCATATTTGTGTACCGTTACACCCCTACTAGCAACCAAATACTTTCAGTTCCTATTTTTTGTCCATACCGTTTAATAGAAGTCAATGGGAACCAAAATTGTTTGGTTTCCAACATTCTTTGAAATACAGTATGTTTCACAGAACAAAGAAAGTCATACGAATGACATGAGGAGTGAATAAATAATTACATTTTTTTTTTAACTATCCATTTAATCCATACTTAAAAATTGCATTTAGATAACAAAATATTAAACCGAGTGGCAGCTGCAAACAAATTATTTGAGAGCGTTTCTCAAAACTTCACAATTATGAAAATTTTTGCATGTCTTTTAAACAGCTTGTTCCAAGGTGATTTTTAGTGCATTTATGAAGTCAGATCTCCTCAAGTTCACACAGCCTTAACAGAGTAACCAACAGTATAGTTTGTCACATGAGCTCTGAAAATGTTCCACTAATGTTTGATAACCACAAAGTGTCCAAATACATTTTTTCTTCATTTTAAACAGTATGTCTATTGCTTTAGAATTTACAATCTTTCAAACATCTTTTAATGTGTTGCTTGAAGTCTGTTTTTCGTTAATATAAGTGATATTACTTTGATGTTTTGTTTTATAATGCACTGTCATTCATAATTTTATGTGAGACATTTTGAAGCCACGTACATTTGGAATAGACTGACGTTGAGTGCATGATCAGACATGACTTTTTTTTTTTTAACAATTTCATTGTTGCTTTGATCTGCATGTACTTCACAAAGCATTAGGCAGCACTTTGAGATATATTGTGTATGTATGTTGTATATATGTATTTTCGTTCAGATTAATAGGTTTTTTATATTACAGGGGCAGACCAACAGGAACAGACAGCCTAGCCACCAGCCCTCTCCAGTCTCCAACTGAAGAGAAGCCAGAAGACAAAGATAATCTAAAAAACAGCACCAGAGTGGGCCCAACTGGAGTCAACATCCCTGTCACCATAACTGACCCACCAGGAGAGACTACAGTCATTCCCAGTAAGTATTCTTTCATCTCCTGCTTGAATAATATGAGCACATTGTGCCAACAATAACAAATCAGTTGAATAATTTGACTAATTATTTTTCAAAGTAATGAATCATATATAGTGTATTTTAAATGTATACATTTTTTTTATGTCCAAGCTGTAACCAGTGGATGCAAACATACCGTAAAAGTGTTCCATGCAACCCTAATAAAAATAAATAAATAAAATAAGTTCAACATAACAGCAGCTTAGGCATTATGCTAAATTACTAACGTTGGAAAAGGTGTTTTGATTGACATGAGGGTAAATACATGATGACAGAATATTCATTTTTGGTTGCATTATCCCTTTAAGTATTATCTACTAACTACATAATCAGCACCACATAAACAAAGGCAGAATTTAATATTTATTTGACATTTGTGACATTCTCTCCTCATCTTTGCTCTAATGATCATCTGTTTGACAGTGAACAACATTGATGGTGACAGTCTACTGCTGAACGAGGAAAAGAAGGATCTTGATGAGCTAAATCAGAATGCGCCCAAACACATTCTGCCATACAGCTCCATGTTTGTGTTCGGTCCAACTAACCCGTGAGTTAAACCCCAATTATTATGTTGCAGAAAACTCTTGAGAAGAGATTTTAAATATGTATCACATAAATTACTTGCTTTAAATAGAATTTTTGTTTAGTTGTAATGTACAGTACATGCTAAATATTGTGAATAAGTGTTGTTTCTTCATGTTCTCTCCATAGAGTGAGACGGCTGTGTCATTATGTGGTGAACCTACGGTATTTTGAGATGTGTATCCTCACAGTCATCACCATGAGCAGCATCGCCCTCGCTGCTGAAGACCCTGTGCAGGCCAATGCCCCGCGCAATGATGTAAGACACACAGACCTACCTGGAAAATTTTGAAAAATTTCCAAATCTGAAAAAGCCAATATATATTTTTTGTATATAATATTTTTATGTAAGTTATACAATTTTTGTAAAATGTAAAAAAAATTATTCAATGTTATCTATAAAATCCCTCAAACTAGGGATGCACCGATACCGATACTGGTCTCCTGTACTCGTACTCGTTAAAATGCCCCGATACCAAACGCCGATACCACATAGCATGTGATAAGCGCCATATTCAATCAAAGAAACACCGACAACAGAACAACAGACAGCAGAAAGGAGTTAAGGATGTCTACTACGAAGTATATGTATGCAATGAATACAATATTAAACATTCAGTATTAACGCCTGTATAGCTGATGTGCGCGAGCTGATAAAACAAAGCACGCTGAGTGGATTGAGTGCGCAGCGGCGCAGATGTGCGAGCTTGTCGAGTGTATATATCTTTCTCACAGACATCACTGGAAAGTTTGTAGTTCGGTCGAAAAAAGTATATGTCAAAAACAAGTAAGTAAAACAATCCACAAGTTGCTTAACGGTAGGGAGAGAGAGAGAGTGAGAGAGAGAGAGCGCGCGCGTGCAATTATGTTGTGTGATCACTGTGTGATGTTCACTCACTTTGATGTTCAAAACTAAATCGTAAAAATAAAACCATTCATGGGGCATTCACTATAAACATAATTTATTTTCAACCTTAGGCATACACGACTTTCTGGCGAAAGTGAATCTAACAGCCTGTGTGAAATGCACTAGGCTGTACTACTGTCCTCTCATTCTGCATCAGTACAAATATGTGCACGCGTTGCGCGTGTTTTGCTTGCTTGAGTGTTTCTGCATTATATGAGTGGCTTTGGAATATAAATCGCAGCACGTTTCAGATGAAAAAACGTGACTTCTATTTCTGAAAATATCACAGTTAGGAGATTTATAACGAGTGGTTCCCTGCCTTATTACAGCGCGTGATTACAATACTGAGCCGCTGCAATGGAGCAGCACCAATGCTATTAAATTATAGATGATGTACCATAGAGCAAAAAATGAACAGTGAAAGTAACAAAAACCTGTAAAATACATTTAATGGGCATAATTAAGTGTGAAAATAACCGAAAGATATACAGTGAAACCAAAAATTATTCAGAAAAAATTATTCAGACCGAGTCTGGGAAAAAAACTGAAGTTGAGGTTTTCATGAAGCTGGGTGACAGCATGCCCAGGAGACTACAAGCTGTCATTAAGGCTAAGGGTTGCCCGACAAAGTAATCATAGTTGTGTAAATACTGTCATACTAACAGCTGTCTGAATAATTTTTGGTTGATTGTAATCTATTACATACCTTTCTATCAAAGTTATCTGACATTATCAAGCTGAATTTGTTCTGACACAGTTTAACTCTGAGCTCTTGTCATATTTTATTACCATTTTCTAAACTATAGCGAATAAACTGTGATAATGTGAGAAATGTTGAAGGTGCCTGAATAAATTTTGGTTTGACTATCTATTTGATAAATAAAGTTAACCAACTAACATTATACATACCCTTTTGGTTTCTGTACCCAGTATTTAAAAAATTTACAAATGCAATAAAAATATCGTTATTGGTACTCGGTATCGGCAAGTACCAAAAATAGAAGTATCGGTATCGGGCAAGTACTGGAAAAAGTGGTATCGGTGCATCCCTACCGCAAACACTGATCTTGTTGTCACTGTCTTTCACTGTAAGCTGGGGTTATGACATAAGTGGTGTTTACATAACTCAAGAACAGTCCTGTAGGGCAGCATGGCAGCCCTTGTCTGAACTGTCACGCTGAGGGTTGTCACTAGCCCCACTGACTGGCTTTTGCACCATATTTTTTATTTCGGGACAGCCCGTGAGCCCGTTAAGTGCCCAGTGTCACCGCATTAGCCCATAAGCGTAGCTTATTAAACCTTGCTCTCTGAATTACAGAGAATTACGTGTAAACATGTCTGCAAGAATCCCATAGTCCACTGTCTTTTCCTTCCAATTGATTTACTGCGCCTGATCGGCTTGTCCAATGAATCGTTGCTTACACCCAATATTTCTCAGCTGCTCATGTGGGAGGAATGAAAGGGAGAAAAAAAACTTGAGTATTTATTTGAAACATCTGTCTTTGTCTCTCAAAAAATACAATGTACATCATGTCTGTTCTGTTTTGGAGATTATGGAATTACTCGCTGAATCATAGCTGCAGTAGGGCCAAACACTATGGTTTATGCTAAGATTTTTATATTATTTATGGCATCATCCACTTTCATTTGCTCAGTCGGTCTGTGGGACTGCAGAAATACAAAAAAAATAACTGCTTATTTCTTGTGGTTGGCTCAGGTGCTGAAATACCTAGATTACGTCTTCACTGGTGTGTTCACATTTGAGATGGTTATAAAGGTAAATAAAATCACCTTTCATTTATTTTTAGAACTGCGATATTAAATCATTTGGATTTTAATTTTCAATCAGTTTATTAAATTTAAAAACCTGAACTTAAACTTGAACTTGAAAACATTGTGCTGCTTAATGTTTTTGTTAATACTGATACTTATTTTCCAGGATTCTTTATTGATTAGAAAGTTCAAAAGAACATCATATTTTGAAATATAACATTTTGTAACATCATGAATGTTAATTTTGATCAGTTTAATGCATCCTTGCTCAATAGAATTAATACATGTTTGTTTACCACTTTTTTCATCTCCCATCTAGATGATCGATCTCGGGCTACTGTTGCATCCTGGGTCTTACTTCAGGGACCCGTGGAACATACTGGACTTCATCGTAGTCACCGGTGCTCTGGTGGCCTTCGCCTGCTCGTGAGTGACTTTTTTTGTTATTCTGTCAGAGTGGAGCAGACAGAGCGGTCAGAAGAGCAGACTGTCAGTTCAAATCCAGCAAGAGAGCATTCAGTCGAAAATGAAGGAAACAGGATGTGGCTGTTTGCTGTTTAGTATCTGAGATGGAGCTCTATGATGAGGGGAAGTGTGGCATCTGTGTGTAGTTTGGTCTTCGGAACTGAACGGTTTAACGTGCACCTGTTTTTTTAAGCTCATAATAGGATTGTGTATAGCGCGCACACCTGTGCTAATGATTCGGGTTTAGTATTTCCCACAGGAGCTGAACCAGACAGTTGCAGAGAAGGCACATTTCCCAGCAGTTTGCTTTTAACTCTTATTGTTCCTGATCCACCCCATGATAATTAGTAATGATTTCCTAAATGTTCTGTTACTCTTCTAGTTGAATTAATTCATGATTTTCAACTGATGGGTGATAAAACAACAATAAAATCCACTCACATATAAATAAAATAGACTCACATTAAAGTATTTTTTCATTTAAAAATTAAAATTTGCTGAAACTTTACTCATCCTCAAGATTTAGATTTGGAGAAATTGAACATTACATCACTTGCTCACCAGTGGTCCTCTGCAGTGAATGGGTGCCATCAGAATGAGAGTCCAAACAGCTGATAAAAAACATCACAATAATCCACAAGTAATCCACATGACATCAGTTAATGCCACATGAAGTGAAAAATAAATCCATCAAGACACATTTAACTTGAAACCATTGTTTCCAGCGCATCTGTCCATAATATTGCATTCTCCAATGGAAAAGGTCATTTTGTCTGAATCCGGAGAGAAATATGCACAGACTAAGCACTGTTTACAAATGTTTACAACAGTTCAAAACAAATATAAACATGGCTTTTGATGTGAAAGGACAACAGGGGATGATACTTTTCACTGAAGGAAGCATTATTATGGATTATGGACTGGTAGTTTGGCCAGAAGCCAAATTATTGTGATTTTTTTATCAGCTGTTTGGACTTTCATTCTGACGGCACCCATTTACTGCAGAGGATCCATTGGTGAACATGTGATTTACCCAAATCTGATCTGAAGAAGAAACAAACTCTACATGTTGGATGGTCTGAGTGTGAGTACATTTTCAGCAAAGTTTCATTTTTGGGTGAACTGTTCCTTTAAAGTAGGGACCTGAGCCATATCGAGAGACCAGAATATTTTAGAGTCTTGGGTGCTTGAGCCAAAAAGTAAATTCCTTCATAGCAATGCCCTTGCAACCACCCACAACAGTAATGTATTTTATAAAGCCCAGTGGATACAATTTCCTCTGCAAGGCAAACATAAATGCACACGCTCGGTTTGACAGCGCGTGTGTGATTTGTCTAATAAATGCAAGGTCTAGTTTGAGTGTGGCTGAATCCTCTTAGTTGTCATGTGCAGATGCTCAGCTGTCTCTCTCCACCTCTACAGTTGACGGAAGGACCATGGGGTGCTTTAAAATAGCTGAAAAAGAGGTGATAGAAAACTGCTCGGCTTTTGAGACCAGCCGTTCTTGTGTGAGTTTGCAGCTGTATTATTCAGTAGCACAGAAATTGTCCATCAGCTCCGATTGGCACCTGTGCTTCCGACGGTGGCACTACAGCATATCTAGGCATTTGTTCAGCTACGATTTGTTTCAATTTTATACATGCAGTGTGTAATATTGATTATAAATGTGTCTCATACTGTGTTCTGCTCTTTCTGATTCACTTGTGTTTGTCTCTCTTTAACTGTGCTGTATCTTCTCTCTCCTGTGCTGTTCTTCAGTGGTTGATAGCAAGCTTGTGGCCTGTGGGCTTTAATGTTTCTCATTTAGTTTTTTCTTTCTCCGTCCGTCTTTCTTTTCTTTCTCTGTCTCTCTCTCTCTCTCTCTGTCTCTCTCTCTCTCTCTCTCTCTCTCTCTCTCTCACTCACTTTCTTTATCTGCCCTGTCCTTCCCTCTTGCTTGCGTTGCTTTCAGGAGCTTCATGGGGTACGCATTTGTTATTACCTGCTTCCTGTGTATCTGCCTGAGTATGAGTGTGTGTTTGTGTGGATAAGGAATCGCTAGACCAGTGCAACACATTCACAAGATTTGTGAAACTGCACTACTGCGGACCACGATTGGGCATGAATTCTTAAACTTAATACACTTCAGCAAGTAAATAAACTACTTGCCAATTGTTCATTATTTAATCTGTATTCATAAGGAAGCCCAATGTAATGCATATTTTAAATGTAATTGTAAGAAAGACAGAATGACACTCACTGCTGTAAGATAAAATGCATACCAGCTGTCTACTAAGGAAAAGATAGTTATGACTTAAGCCCCGTTCACACTGCCTGAGACTTTTTCGCTGTATGTCGCTAGACTCCGTGCTGTGAAGACGCTTGTGGGCGTTCCTACTGCTGTCGCTCTAATGTTATTGGTAGACTGCACGTCTGGACATATCTGGACATATAAAGTGCAATCACAAACTGTATATTGCCGGTAAAACTAAGATATCATTCTATTATGACTAGGAATTAAACTTAAAAGAAATAAAAGCACCATTCTGCTTTTGGAGAGTGTTGTTATATAAACTACAGCAGTGGCCGTGCATTAAATCATTAACCGGAGCTAAACTGCTCACTGCATCATATAAATAACAGCTCGAACCATCAATGTATGCATCAAACTCACTTAAACAGCCAACAGTTTCTTTTCTACGCATCATGTTTTTTTATATCCATGCATGTGGTTACAGTAAAATCATATAAAACAGTGAAATCGCTCAGGAAATCTGTCCTGTCTTCCCTGCACTCGAGACGGTGACGTGTGAGCGCCACTGACAGATTCTTCACTCCTATTGGTTGTCGCTCGCGAAATTCGCTGTTCATTTGCATAAAGTTAAACAATTCTTAACTTTTGTCACTTGACTTGCATCGCTTGACACACCCACATTCTGTCGCCAACGGTCACTGTCGCTCGTGTCCCCGGAAGTCGCCAGCTGTCCATTGAAAATTAATGGGAGCATGTCACTTTGTCGCTGTGTGTTGCTGGCAGTGTGAACGGGGCTTTATACACCTTTTATTTTTACCTTTGTAAGAATTAAATCTATTTTACTTGCTGTACACAATCAGCATCTATCACCAGGACTTGCATGAACCTTCATGCATGTGCTTTCTGTTAGTGTGTGGGTGTGTGTGTGTGTGACATTTGCCAGTCTGTAACCTTTTCACTTTTGTTACTTTTATCACAGTACCATGTTGCGATGTCTCTATATTTACTGCTGAAAGTGATTTATCTTGCAGAGATGTTACAAACAAACAGTAACTAATAATCCCTCACTGCATCATGTTTTTGATTATTGTAATGTTTTATTGTGCGCTGGAGTTGCTTTGATGCTTTTAAATCTTTCTTTGCTGTTCGTCCACCCAGTGACCGCTCTCTTCCGTTCTGATGTCATTTAATCTGCATTTACTGCTTATTCTATGTCTGTGACGCGGCTTATTATGTGTTGTGTTTCTATGTTTGTGTACATGTGCATGGTTTTTCATCGGTTTCCCTCGTCAGATCGCAGCAAAGCGTGACCAGGTGGGGACAGTCTATATATCTATAAAAACATACACTTTACCCCCCCAACCTCCCCACGGACCACTCCAAACTCACAACCCTTCAACTCTTCTGCTCATTCAGCCTTTGTAGAAGAGGATGGACCTACTTTTACCCAATGACTTGACCTTTGACCTTTGCAAGGGCTTATAGAAACTACTACTCCTACTGTTTCCAGAGGACAGCCACCCTTTATGCTAACAGTCAAACAAAACCTGAATTACTACTGATAATTGCTATTAAATTGTAGTAATTGATAAAAAAAAAAACATCTGCATATCGGATATCAGAAGTTCTGCATAAGTAAACTGCTTGTTCAGTCAAACAAAACCTGAATTACTACTGATAATTGCTATTAAATTATAGTAATTGATAAAAAAAAAAACATCTGCATATCGGATATCAGAAGTTCTGCATAAGTAAACTGCTTGTTGTGATAGATAGATAGATAGATAGATAGATAGATAGATGATTGATTGATTGATTGATTGGAAAATACATTATGAAATATAAATCATATAAATCATTAAAGTTTTTGTTCTGAAAAGTATGTTTTACTGAATTTTAGATAATTTGATGATTAAAAAACTTCCACAATTTCCACAAATTAATCAAGCAGTACAAATTAAAAAATAATATTACCACAAAACATTCCCCGATTAATTAATAAAATATTTGGTAAAAATTTGCTTAATTATCACAAAAACAATGCGAATTATAATCTTAAATTTTTATATAATTTCTTTTTCAATTCAATTCATGTTTATTTCAATAATGCTTTTCACAATGTACATTGTTGCAAAGCAGCTTCACAGAACATGAAAGTTCTATTATGAATCTTGTGTTTTCTTTGGGCTTAAATTTGACCCGGATATGTGCTTGACCCTTGTATCAGGGTGCATCAGGTGGCTTTATCCTGTCACAAACATTAGGCAGAACCACTTAAGCACTGGACCTGTGTGATGGGTGCCTGGAGACAGATGGTCCTCTGAAATCTATGGGAGTATAGTTGACTGTCTCATTGGGCGGAGATCCACATGCACCCCTGGGGTGTGCTGTGAGACTGACAGACATTGCATGGTCATTGCATGCCAGTGTGCTAGAATCTCAACTCCTCATGGGATAGAAAAAGTAAGCAGACAAGTCACAGAGATAAGCTATGACTCCCTAAACCTGGCATTTTCTTTAGTATCAGGACGTGTACTCGCTCAGTATGCTTATTTGCCATGCCAAGCATTTGAAGTTTTGTATTTTAAATAATGAATGTTTTTAAGACACACAGGCACAGAAAAAGCTTATCTTGATAGATTATCTATGACAGTCAATTTCAACTGTCAAGGAAATATCTCACCGGTCAGAAAGGACCACTTTTTTTGCATTAAACAAGGTTGAAATGGAGGTCGTTCTTGTTCATCGACATGCCTGCTAAAGTTTAGAGTAAAAGAGTTTCAAAATAACCTTTTGTTATCTTTTCAGATGAGTTCCATTCTGTTGAGCTATGTAATTTCAAATGCCATTCATTGTGAATCTGCCTTACAGCAGCTGTAACATTCAGAAAACGAATCATTCAGTGTGTCATTGAGGTTACCTGTCTTCAGTGACTTCATTTAACTTCCAAGTCAATCCTGAAAAAGTTAAACTGTATGGAACTCGAACAACAAAGCGACATTGATTATTCAAACTTTAATAGGATTTATTTTATTTTCAGTTCACTTTATTAGTGTTTCCTTCTAAGGCAGGCATCACTGTTATGAATTTATACTTATTAGTTTATACTCAAGGTTAGGGATTTCAACTACAAAAAAGTATCAAACTTCATTGTTGGTTTACGATTATTGGTCTTGCCTGATGGATTATAAAACAAGTGAAAAATGTCTTAAACTTGCAGTAAACCAGATCGTAACACCCTGGCAACCACCACCAACACCCTAGCAAAATGGTGGCAAGTTTTCCAAGAGCAATAGTTGTAAAAATTGGCCTTTTTTAGCTTCCCAGCATCAGACTATTACTTGGCCAACTGTGGTTTTTACAAAGAGACCATCCCTGCTGAATGGATTGTTTCTTTGTATCTTTTTCTGGTGAATGATTGTTATTTTACAGAAATATTAAATTTATCATCAGTCTCAGAGGAAGGTTAGTTTCTGTAGAATAACCTCCCCTCGAAGGCATGCTTTCTACTAACCAAATAACCTCTAGCTAATGTAATTCTGAATTACATGATGAGCTGGAGGAAGTGATTAGCTCATCATAATGTAATTTAATTGAATTCAGGCTTTGTGCATGTGCAAATGTGTGATCGCAGGCATGTTCGAAATGTCTCTAAGTCATTGCTTTTTCCTTACAGAGGAACTAAAGGCAAGGACATCAACACTATCAAGTCCCTAAGGGTCCTTCGAGTCCTGAGGCCCTTGAAGACCATTAAACGTTTGCCTAAACTCAAGGTAATTCCTACTATCTGGATCTTAGCCTGCTTAGTTCTTATCTTACTCCTCTGAGAGCATGCAAGTGGAATTAGGTGGTTTTAGTTGTAAAATTATATGTGACCCGTGCTGTCAAAATGAGTCGGACTGCGCAAGGTCTAATTTTGAGCTACAGGCAAAAGAAGTGAAAATGTCAATTTTGGTCGAATTTGAGGTTTTCACAAAAATGTGTTCATTTAGCTGTCTTCTAGCGATCCCAATGGGCTCCAAATAGTATTTAAACATCTAAAATTATCTTTATTTGTACGGTTTCTGAGAGTAGTACCTTTTTCTCTGCTCACTTCTGGACGACTGCTGCTGCTTCTCACCACAAGTTGTAGGTTTATCGTTGCAAAGTGCAGCATTCAAGCTTTGTGAATATTCATATCGAATTCTCGATGACATGAGTACAAACCAATGAAATATGATTTTCAAACCCATGCTTATGAAAACGAAACGATCAAGCTGACTGACATTTGCAAAGCGTATGCATAAGACGCGCCTCTCCGAGAGTTCTCAATCTCTCTATAAAGCACATTATTGCAAAATATGTCTTGGCGAGGTTCCCACAAACATTATCTTTTATGTCTTACATGAACGTTTAGTTAATGGTTGGGGAAAAATCTGATGTGTAACATTAAATTCCATCCATGCATTACAGTAGGTTTTAATATAGATCTGTTTCAATGTTAATCAAACATTAAAAGAAAAAAAGGGAATCACTTTACTCACTTGATTGTTTATCTTTGTGCATCTTTGTTCTTATTTTTTTAATAACAAAGATTTTGCTATATTGTGATTAATAATATAGTAATTATTATTATTAAGAAAAGAATTGTAGGAAAATATGCAACGTTGCTTGGTGATTTTGCTTTGGAATCTTCCCGAAAACTTTAAATCTATTTTTCTTTAAATCAACTTTGCTACCTTCAAATGGCTGTAGCTTAGTTTTGTCTGATTCCAACAAGTCATATATCATTTTGAAGGTATTTTAATGGAGAATGTGAAAATAAAAAGAACACATTTTTGAAAATGTGCTCATTCGGACTCATTTTGCCAGTACGGGTCACATATGATCAGAGACACCGCATTGAAAGATTATCATTCATTAGAACTCATAGCAAATCTATCAGTTCTGATCTATTAGTTCTTCATTCAGTCAGTTGAAATCTTGGCAGTCTGTTCAAATAATTAGTAAGTAAGGAGATTCATCACAATGGAAATAGAAAGTCAAGTCAAAATGAATTGTTGGATGTGGTATTCTCTGCATTTTGGCCTGGTTGTGTATTGCTTTTTCTGGCAAATTTAGTCATCCAGGTGATCCATGAATAATGAAAATTAGGCCTAGTAGGAGATTCATCACAATGGAAATAGAAAGTCAAGTCAAAATGAATTGTTGGATGTGGTATTCTCTGCATTTTGGCCTGGTTGTGTATTGCTTTTTCTGGCAAATTTAGTCATCCAGGTGATCCATGAATAATGAAAATTAGGCCTAATATGCTATTCTAAATATAGCCTATGATAGACAGCTGTTTAATATAAATATGTAAAAGATAAATTACATTTTAAATTGGTTAATCTAAGTCAGAGTAACAAGTGTTTTCTGTTTTTGTGTCAGTGTTTCCCTAGGTACATTATGTGTGTTACTGTGCTTGTTTGTGTGGACGTTTTGCAGGCAGGGATGATGCCCCTTGTGTAGATCTCCACATTAACAGCCTTGCTGCATCTTTCTCTCTAATCAAATCACACACTTAGGCACACAAACAAATCGGTTTAGAGACACTCACTGTTATCTTATTACATGGCTAAATTATACATTTAAACTTACATTTCACACCATCATTTATTCATTTGGCTGAAGATTCGTCACCAGTGGCATTAGAACAAATAATAGACTAAAAAATAAAATTGAAGTTTAGTTTAGTTACAATACTAATGCACAGATAAATCCTCACAGGGCCACTGAGACATTTATCCTGCCTACGGAGATCTTATTAGCATTAATGCCAAAAAAAAATACACTACTCAGTGCTAATAATGATACCCTGAGGACATTAAATGAGCAGAAATGACAGAAAAATGTCCCCCCCCCACACTCCTGTTTTATCCTCTGCCTAAGTGCAGTCATGTAGAGCAAGAGGAGCAGTAATTAATTAAGACTTTGCCACAGCCTACAATTAGTGAAGTTGTGTGCTTTCACGAGGGTCTGGTGACATTAACACACAATGACACATTCTTCACAGATGGATTTGACGAAGGTGTGCATTACTGTCTCCATGTGGCAGCGAGGCCGTCCCATCCAGAAGATGTTTGCAGGAGATCTGATTTGTGCTGTTTGTGTGTCCTCAGGCTGTGTTTGACTGCGTGGTGAACTCTCTGAAGAATGTGCTCAACATCCTCATCGTTTACATCCTCTTCATGTTCATCTTCGCGGTTATTGCTGTGCAGCTTTTCAAGGGGAAATTTTTTCACTGCACCGACGAATCCAAAGCCCTGGAGAAGGACTGCAGGTACAGCTGTGCTCTGGCTGGACTGTCGGGATATATTCTGCATGATGGATGAATGGAAGGAGGGAGGGAGGGAGGAAGGAGAGAGGGAGGGAGGGAAGAAAAAGAATGAATGGAGAGAAAAGGAAAGGAAATGACAAGTGAATGAATGGAAGTGTGGTAGGAAGGCGGAGAGAACAAAAAGACTGAAGAATAAAAGCGAAGGAAGAGTGAAGGAATGGATGGAAGGAAGGAAAGATGAAAGGAAGGAGAGCAAAGAAAAAAGGAAAGGGAGGAGAAGGACAAAAGGAAGTAAAGAGACGGTAAAAAAAGGCAAAGGAGAGGAAGTGGGAAGGAAGAAAGAATGAATCCAAGCAGGAAGAAAAAGTAAATAGTAAATAAAGACAAAGTTCAATTTTGATGTGTCTGTACTCAGGGGTCAGTTCCTGGAGTTTGGCAGTGATGGACTGGCCTTGACACTGCCGCGCGAGTGGAAGAAGTATGATTTCCATTATGACAACGTCCTGTGGGCCTTTTTGACCCTGTTCACTGTCTCTACAGGAGAGGGTTGGCCAACGTGAGTCCACACACACACACACACACACACAGTGATCTTATAGGGACACTCAATGTTGGTTTTCTTATGCTGATCTCTTTCTCCTTTTACTCTGTCTGTTCTGATTAAGTTTTTCTTCTTGCTCAACTCTCTCTGGTGTAATCTGTGTTCCTATCCATGCTCCGCTTTCTTAATTTTAACTCCATGTTTTCATAGAAAAACACATACTTTGTTAAGAGAGACTCTGCAATGTATTGCAGAAAATCCAGAAAGTTTTTTTGCATTTAACTTAAATCCCTCTTTAACATTCAAGAGCTGCTCTGGTACTCTGTGATATCGACGCATTTCTTCTTGAGTTTTTCGTGGACACAGATGTAATCTTAACTATTGCATGTAAACACTTTTTTTGATTTTTGACTTAATGCCCTTTTATAGAGAGGGTTAGTGAGAAAATAAACGGAAAACAAAAGGGAAAACTACAGTTAAATAGAAAAGTGCCAGAAACTAAATATGTATTAAATTTATATAGTGTAATTTTTTTATTACTAATTTAGGTCTGTGGTAATCTATTGTTTGTTGCATTAGTATTACAAGTATTACATAATTAGTTAAATAAATAAAAAATCACTGTGAAATTAAAATGGACAATTTTTATTTTTATGGAATGTTAAAGTGTTTATTATGAAAGATTTACTCTTATTTAATTTTTTCTCACTTTTTTTTTTTAAATCACTGCCTGAATGACAAAATTAAGTTCTGTCTCACTGTTTCACTCTGTTTTATATATCTGTTTCACTCAGATATATGTCACAGAAGAGGAGAAAAGACAATACAATTTCAATCTCAATTTCTGTTTCATGACTACTTTAATTTGAATAATTTTTATTATTATTATATTAAAATATAATTTCATTAACCATTTTTAGTTTATGTTTCCGAGGAATCCCTTAGTCGTTTTGAAAGTAACACCATACCTTATATGCTTTTGAAGATCTGTTCACTGTGGTGGACACAATGCATCAAAGGGTTAAAAATGAGAAAAACGTATCATGATCATCTTGACGATGTTTGATCATCTTACTGACATTCTCTTGTTGGTTCTCTAGAGTGCTGAAACACTCTGTTGATGCCACGTATGAAGACCAGGGTCCCAGTCCGGGTTACCGCATGGAAACCTCCATCTTTTACGTAGTCTACTTCATTGTCTTCCCCTTCTTCTTTGTCAACATCTTTGTGGCTTTGATCATCATCACGTTCCAGGAGCAGGGAGATAAAGCCATGTCAGAGTGCAGCTTGGAAAAGAATGAGGTAGGATGGGACAGTTGAAGGCTTACATAGTCAGTTAAAATCAACCGTGAGCAGACGAGTAAATGGGGTGACGGCAAACTGTAGGCACCATTCACTGTTGCTTTAACTGGAGTTTCAGTGTATGCAAATTCAAGGTCAAAGTCTAGTTTCATACATGCACGAACAGTTGTGAGATGCCTGGAAGAGAAGCACTCTTAAGAGAATTCCTCTCACCTGTGTGCGGCCAGCGCACCTGTCCATCTACATCTCCACTACCTTGACACTAAACTCCTTTGACAAACAGATACACACACAAAGCACACACACACACAAAGCACAAACTTAAACCCCAGGAGGAATTACCAGACCAGTCAGTCAGAACTCTTTGAACTCTCTGGCTTTGTTCTAAAACCTATTAAGTTGTATTGTTGTCCAAACTGTTATTGAACATCATTAATATTTGATTTGAAGTGCTTTACATAGGCATAGAAACTAGCGGGTGTTTAGTTGGATGGCCAGCTGGTCTCCTTGCCTGATTAACTGAAAAGTGCTCAAAACCTCTCTGAAACCAGCCAACAGACCAGTCTCTCAACCACCTTAAACCATCTTATGCTGGTTTAAGTTGCCGGTTTTTTAGCAGGTAGTGCTAGTAGTTGTAATTTCTGTATGCATTTATAATAATTAAATAATTAAATTTGAAAATGTTAATTAGTTAACTTTTTATTTGTTTTGTAAATCATAATTTTGTTATAATACAATACTGATTTCTATTTGTAATGGTTACTACTTACTATTTTGTAATTTCAGGGTCCAGTTAGGGTCAGTTTAACTGCCAAACATCATAATGCAGCACTTGGTTTTTGAACAGCTCGATAATCTATTTTTTCTGATGTCTCTATATTTGTCTCTGTTCTTTATCTATATATCTGTATCTTCTCTCAGAGGAGATATTAGCCCGTGTTTAAATATTAAACTGCTGTAGCTCTGATTTGTGCAGCTGGTTTAATGTTTGTCTTCTAGAACTCATTTGTTCACAGCCTTTCATTCGTTTGATTTAGAGAGCTCTGGGAATACCAATGCTGTTCTAGTAATCAAACATGGAAAGATCAGGGTGATGAGTAGTTTTGTGCTTGTAGACATTCACTTCAACACTTTGTTGAGGAGTTCTTGTTGCGATAATTGTGCTTTGATTTCATCTACAGCGAGCTTGTATCGACTTTGCCATCAATGCCAAACCTCTGACACGCTACATGCCGCAGGACAAGCAGTCTTACCAGTACAAGATATGGAAGTTTGTGGTGTCCACTCCGTTTGAGTACTCCATCCTGACCATGATCGCCATCAACACAGTGGTCCTCATGATGAAGGTAAAAAATTTATCTTCTATGTCATTGCTGTGAACCACCTTGTGGACTCTTTATTTTTAAGTTGTAGACAAACACTGAGCCATTCCATCACACAGACTGAGGCTCAGCAATGCTGATTATTGCATATGAAATGATGTGCGTGAATATTCAGTTATGAATACGTCATTTCTAATTTTAGACTCCTGAAAGCCTGTTTTACAGATCTTTTGAATATTTGAGGGAGTGCAGAGTGAGTCACTATCTCTCCGTGTTTTTCTTCTTCTGTAGTTCCATGATGCTCCTAATCCATATGAGGACATGTTGAAGTGGCTGAACATCATCTTCACGGCTCTCTTCACGCTGGAGTGCATTCTCAAGGTCATTGCCTTCGGCCCTCTGGTGAGAATGGAAAGACTCTGATATTACTTTATCATTACAATCAGTGTTTGATACGAAACTAGTCATTTGATCCACGTATAGCACAAATACATACAGCAATACTGTGAAAGTTCAGTTAGTTTACCAAAAAAAAAAACACTGCACTTTAGTCATTTCAGGCTTTACCACGTAACTATTTTTTTCTTCCAGTATTCTGGTATCAACACAATTCATATTTAAACTGGTAGAACGTTTTTGATAAAACTTGATTAACTCATTGTTACAGTCAACAAAACACCATGCATTGGGGCTTTCGTTTATATTCTGGGAAACATCTGCCATGCAAAAACATACAATATCTGAAAAAAAAAACATAAATAAAAACATATTTATCTGCAATGCATACAGCACATACATTTTGCTGTCTAATAGTGCAGAATAAATTGCAAGGTGGACCAGACTTTTTGCTGATAGTAAAAACTCAAAACTAGTTTGATTCAAATTTGAGAGGAGCTGAATAAAGTAAGAGTATGAATGACTGATTTGAGTGAAAAGTGGAGCACTGTTGGTTGATTGACCAGCCCGCAGGGCTTTCGGCAGTGCAAGAACTGTGAAATCAGCGAGAGGCTAATGACGGCCCGGTGGGTGAGAAGAGTGTGGTTGGGTGTACAGTAGGAGCAGTGGTGTGTGCAATGTATCATAAATCTCTCTTCAGTGCCAGCTGGTCTGACCTGCAGCAGAAGGTCTCATCTCAAGCTCCATTTCCATTTATGAGGCTCATTTATTAAGAGCTTTTCTGGTGCGTGATGCTTGCGTTTACCTCCACCTGTTCGGAGCTCAGGGTTGATGAATGGGTCTCGCTCATGTTGTTCTGTCTGGGATCCATGTCTCACAGCAGTCAACTAATCTTTGCTCCATTCAGGAGAGGCATGAACCCAAGGCTAAGACACCTGACAGACTGTCCTGCCATGAAAGATCTATTACACGACTCGACAAGCTCTGCATTTCAGTCTGCCTGAGTTTGTGCGTGTATGATTCTCTATATTTGTAAGAGCCACATTGTCCTCATTAGAATTGTAAAAGATTTTTAGAAAGAATTGTCTTCACAAGTAAAAACAGTCCATACTTAAACTAAATCAAAATGGCAAAAGAGCTCTCTAAGGAATAAGTGTACAATTAAAATGGAGTAATTATAATTAATTCATTAAAAAAAAAATTCAGATCAGCTGAAAAGCTCTGAATTACCATCTACAGCACCTGCCTTTTAATGCAACATCATAACTGAAATTAAAGGGATAGTTCACCAAAAAAATTTAAATTGTCATCATTTACTCGTTCCAAACCTGTATGAGTTTCTTTTTTATGTTGAATATAAAAGAAGATATTTTGAAGAATGCTGGCAATCAAACAGTTGATGGCTCCCATTGACTTCCATAGTATTTCTTTCCCTACTATGGAAGTCAGTGGGGACCAACAACTGTTTGGTTCTTCAAAATTCTTCGAATTATCTTCTTTTGTGTTCTACATAAGAAAGAAGCTTATACGGGTTTGGAACTATTACCGTTCCTTTAAAGCTCATAACTTGCTTTTGAACTAGTTTGATAAAGCATGCTTTTAAGCTTTTAAAATGTAAATATTGTAAGGATGGTTTCCCTACGGTGGTTCAGGCTGTAGGATTGCCGAATGACTAAAGAAACGTTATCAGCACGATGGTATAAAACTGTACATTTCTAGTCTATTACCACCCACTGCCACTTATACCAACGACGGAAATAAGCGCAGTTAGAATAGCTACATATGTGGGAGAGCATTGCTATTGTGTGACTATTGTATTGCAATAGGTAGCACTTTAAGATTAACCTTGAATCAAGACTAGTTAGCACATAATTAATAATTGAAATGGTTTAATAACAATATTTTGTTATGGTTACACTTGAATTGGTTACAAAATAGATGAAGGATGGTAAAGCATAGTTAATTGTACCCAACATGTAAAATATTACCTGAGAGAAAGAGATAGAGAGAGGGGAGAATAGAGAGAGGAAGAAAAAGAGGGAGAGAGGGCAGAGACCCAAGAAGAGCTCCAACAAAGAAAAGAGACAACAAAGAAAAGAGCCAGAGCGGACAGGAAAGCAGAAGTCTTTGATAATTTTTGACCTTACAATATAATAAATAATAGTACTCCATTTTTACAAATGATAAAACTATTGTAGAAATTAATTTTGATATTAAATAGAATATAATAATTTTAGCAATTTGTTATAATTATTTACAATTATAATAGAAAAATAGTTTATATGTTATTTATGTTTGTGTATG